TCGTGAGTAAGCCGAGAATTAGAGCATTGGCCATAGGTAGGAAGTAAGATATTGACCGTTGTCAATAAATGTGGGTGAATAGTTGCAGGCTGTGCGAGTACCCGCCCCTTCATTACGAACTTCGGAACATACCCGCTAGTCTGACAGGTTGTGCCACGTTCCAAGATCACAAAAAAATGTATTGCCGTTAATGCGTATATGTTCGCTATACTTTTGTTAGAAAAACTTAATTTATTCAGTATCATCATTATTTTGTAACGTAAAATACATATAGTATTTATTTTCGTCTGTGAATAAAGATAGTTTGACGATTTAATATTTGCTAATTGGCAACTTAACTTGCGCTACTGTCGTCCTCTGGCGCCTCTTTGTAAAGAACCGTTACAAGAACTGCGTCAAATTGCTGTCTGGAGATTTAGTCACTCGTAAACTTATTTTCGCGGACTTGGGAGCTTGGAGAGCTATTATTCATTAAAATTTAAGGTACAAGAGGTATTGACAAATGAAAATTTTACGTGGTTTTTAGGCTGTTTCCGTTATGGTGGGTGTACCTGTTAATAAATTATCCCTCAAGAAGTCCACTTTGGTAATAGTGACTCTAATTCCTACTCGCACTATTATTTTCTTTGAACGTCATAATTATTTTATTAAATCCCCAAGCTCGATGAACACAATTTATGTAGATTCAAATAACCTTGTTAATTCAACTATTTACTTCAATTATTGTTATTATTCAATATTAAAATAGTAAATCAAAATATTATCAATTTTCAAGCATGAACAATATTCGTCTAATATCTGAATAGTATATATTCATTTAACGACAAAAATACATTCACGTTCTAATAGGGTCATTATTTGTGAATTCTGTTTAGAAAGCGCCTGCCGACAACGTTAGCCAGACATGCCTTAATTTTATCTAGACAGCTTCGTGTGAGCTGCTAGTGGTAAGCTGGCAAGTTGACCTTTAGAATTAAATTCAGATGATTGAGATTAAATTGTGCCACCTTATGATAACTGAATTACCATTTGCATTTCCAATATCCTTTTGATATTGTGGTTATTCCATTTTGTTCATTTCGTGTCCACCATGAACAAGCAGATGCTGGTCGGCGCCATCATTCTTCAATCCATTTATAAACATACTGAATCTTCATATTCTGATATTCATTACACCAACCTACATTATACATATTTACCCTAATTAAATATGAGAGAGACGGCCGTTTGTAACTTTTAAATAAAATCTCCCAACCCTCATTCTTCAGTTCCCGATTCAATATCAGTCTATCTGTGTTCTTTGCTCAATCCAAAAATACGAGTATCTGAACTACAGATGGAATGTCTAGTTCATGCTATTTTTATTAAATATTTGATATAAGTTTACTGTTTGTTTAAATATTTACTTACCCTCTAAAATGCCACCCTGTAAATTAATAGGCATTTGAGTTTTATAAAAACTTATTATGGGGGTAAAAGAGTTAGAATGTTAACAAGAATGTCATATTAATGTAATACCCCTACTGAGTTCTACCTTGCATCGCATCAATTTAATCTAATAATTTCACTCTGAAATTAAACACCTTTCTTATGCTATAATAAAATGCTTGGAGTTTGTTTCCGAAATTTGAATTACTTGATAATTTGTACACAAGATTTATACTCTCACTGTTAAATCAGTAAGAAGCAGAATACTTTTTTATCATGAATCAAACGTATTACGTGAGATTGATGGCTGTGTTAATATAAAATCTGAGCTAGAACACTATTTCTTCCTCCCAGGTTGCAGAACGAAAATTATTGAATATTGTTTATTAGTAGTTTCGTTTTATGGCAGGAAATCTTTTTTCTTATTTGAATGTCGTGTTGATAATTTGTTTCGAGTGGCTACTAATAATTCACACGGCGGCACGTGTAAAGCTCGGGGCACGGTACCATTTCATCATTATGCTACCTTAAAATATTTAGTTTGAAATATATACAATAACATATTTTTAAATGAGGCCATATAAAATTTGGGTTAATTTTTTCTAAGCAGAATTGGAAACAGCTCTTTGTTACTGAAATTTTGTTACCCTGCGTATAGTCATATTTTTAGTCAATTAGCAATCTAGCAGTTAATTCTTAACGTAAGTATTTTTGTTAAATCTGAAATCCTATAGCTTGTATCTGCTAAAATTTTTACGCAAGTAATGACATATCAATTTGATCAATGACTTGATTATTTCAGTCATTTCAGCAATCAAACAATTATGTGCCTCTGTTATCAAGAAAAAAAGATTATGTCAACCAATAATTTACCTGGTAATAAAAAAGTCCATGCAACAGTAACATTATCAAGTTTGTCACAATATCTACAAGGCAGCAACTGAGTACGGTAGCTGATAAGTGATAAGAAATTTTGTTACAAATCTCTGAAGATGATTCACAGCTCAAATTTCTTCCTCAGTGTCTTGAATTATTGTTATGATGGTTTCAACATCAATCCTGCTTGATCACTTAATCTATCAAAAATTATCAGCTAGTTTATGAAGAAAAATTTCCTTTTCAATCAATAGTTTACAATTTACATTATGAAATATGTTGGTGTTCATATAGTAACCTCTAAATTCTAGTCTGCGAAAAATCGCAATAAACACAGAGCTTCAAATCCTTCAATCCACAGTTCTTGATATGTATGCAAATATTTACACACCTGCTTCCGCGAGTGTCAGTATTACATTTAAATTTATTTCAAATTGATATCAAGTTGTGATATGTCAGCAGTCAATAGAGTCAATGTATGCTGCATCATTTTTTCTGTGCTGTATTTAGAAGTAACAATTACTTGAAATCTCTCTGCTCATTCAATCAACACGATAAACCAAAGACCCCAATTCTGAGGATTGCCTGCTGCCTCCGAAAAGAATTATTAAAAAAAATTGAAATTGAATGATATTGCATTATGTTTATTGTGACCACAATTTTACATCCATATACCAATTGCAGAGCATATTTAGATTTTTAAACTAAACGGGTGACATGATAACTAAGTTCAAGTTAAAAGTCAGAAAATAAAAATATGTTTATATTTTTGATTCTTAGTGGCAAAGCACAAAGTTTTTAGATTCTCTCTCAAGCAACAATTTCTGATTCAAGAACTGATTTTAAAAATCTCTGGTTTGCCACTATACTTTAAGTGCCTTTCACCCCACTCCCCACAGACCTGACAAAAGTCCATTAGGTTCAATTAAATGTCAAGTTTGAAGATAGCTGGTCAAAAATGCCAGTTACGAATTCTCCTGTGAAAAAGTCTCTAAAATTACAAGACTCAGCGACAGGCGTAACTTGGCATATTCTTCAACGCCGACACTATTATGCCTAGTTTGCTATACTTTCCAAGTTGTAGCTGCTGAAGTGAACTGCAACGTTCAGATAAGAAAATAAAATAGTTTATAGTAACTGGAAGATGTGTTGTTGACTAAAAGGTACATTAATAATCTATTGCAAAAATTATGGTATCATTAAACTTTCAACAGTGACGCAAAAGTTACCATACACAGTAATGCCAAATATTAGAATTCCACCTTAGGCCACCAACCTGTACACACACACAATAAGTGAATAAGCCAGTAATGCCGCTGCACCTGCACGTAAAACACTGTTCTCTTAAAAAATAGACATAACCATCCAAAACTGGTCAGATATACAATTATTGTTTTGTAAGTTTTCCCAGAACATTTCTTAACTTTCTAAAACGTAGAACTATTTTTCTTAACTTGGCTGCCTCGCCAGTCTGGGCATGTCAAATGCAGCGATTCTATTTGAATGACAGTATACGCAACATGCTAACACATTTTTTTACTAAATTTAGTAATTTAAACATATAAATTACATGAAACATCACTAAATTCAAAGTAAGGAACATGTCCGTATGCCACAATAGAACCGACTCCTTCACAGCAATGAACGAGTCCCTTAATTCCACCGTTATTGAAATCGAATGGCTGCCAACCGACAGACTGCCGCCTGCCATATCTTAAGTTGAGTGACAAGTTAAATGCTGGGACGCTGGCCAAGTTAACTTTTTGTCTCAGTTTATCCAACGAATAAGGATAGTTTATTCAACTAATCGTGTGATCGAATTTTCTGTTGTATTTATTTTAGGAGTAAACGCTTTCACAGCAGGCTGAATTATTTATCGAAAATTAACGAACGGCTAGCGGCTTGGACAAATTGCACAAAGTGCAAGATACTAATAACGGTGAGATGTTGCCACACGTAAGACTGATTGTTGTTATCAATCAAAAGCTCAAGCTGAAAAGATATGCTTTATAAATGTCTCGTGTACATGAAGTCATTTTATGGAAGAGAACTATCATGTCTTTTGAGTTGATGTGACAATGTCATCCGGTTAATAATTCTTTCTGAATAATTTAATCAAAAATCAAATTATAGCGTGATTTAGAAATCTGAAAGCGGCCAATAGCAAACGATAACATTGCATTTGGGGACATTATAAAACTAAAGTTGAAGTTGATGAGAATGCTAGAAGGACCATTAATTGTTTTCAAACTGGGTCAATAACGATTAATATCTAATTGAATTAGCGTCAATTGCTCATTACAGAATCATGAATACCGTTCATCATGAATTAAAGTATATATCGATTTCCGATTTATTATTTTAAGAAAAATTAAAAACAATCCGATCGTTTGCGTATGAATTTCTTGGTTGGCTCTGAAGAGTTGCCTACTCTCATTTCCTTCGATCTGCTATGATAACACCACAGTCGATAGTTCGCCGTGCATCTGTATTGATTGTTTAGGAAAATTCAATTTCCAAATCTTCGAGCTGTCGTATCTTCTACGTTCTGCAATAACCTAAAATAATCGACATCGTTGCCCATATTGGCGTTTGACTGAGACGGGCATTTATTTTCACCAGTTGCTGCTCGGCGGCCGTCACGCGAGGGTGTGTGGTGATCACCGCGTTGCCTGACCGCTGAGTGAACATCAAAGACCAATTGGTGGCGAGGTAATTACATTGGAAGCGGTAAATTGCCTCACTAGAGACGAGCTTTTTGTCTAACGTCGCATGGTTCGCTGCCTTTCCACTGAAATATTCGCGGTTCTAGCCAAACTTTTACGTGTTTTTAAATTGACTCTTAATACCATGCACTTTTTGAAGCATTCAGTTTTTGAGGTTATACAATATTTTAATTAATTCCTGTCTTATCAGCGATGTATTTCTTTTCATCGAAGTCTGGCGACATGAGAAGTCAACAATAAAATCGTTCCAGACGAACATTTGATTCAAGTTTTGTTTCGATCGCGGCCGGAAGTCTGCTCTGTCTCAATAAAATGTACACATAGATTGTTAAAATCAACTAATTTACCCGAAAATGCATTACTTGATATAACAAATAAATTTAAGAAGAAGTCGTAGTTGCAAATCATGAGATAAAACGAACTTGAAATTATTCATTGATTATCATTAGTGCTGGGAAATACGAAACATTTATATTTAACTGGACGTGCGAATGATTCAATTTTGCGCATGCAATCGCAAAAATCAGCAAAAATGATAAAAGAGAACAATTAAACAGGAAAATTACTGTCGTTGAAAACCCGAAAGCAATTAAACGTTATAATATTAATCGTGGATGAACAATGACAGAAACTTGCTGAAACCTGTGCTAAATTCTTATACTTTCTGTTGCAGATGAGGGAGTTGAGCCTGTACCTCTTCCTCCTCGCAGGTAGGGTGAGAAGAATTCTCTTTTTCTTGTAAAATAGCGACTAAAAATGTTAATTCATTTAATTGAGACTGGAAAAATAGCTAGCGAACCAGATTTTTATGGAGGAAAAATAGTACAGTATATTTTGTATTTAGTTTCTTTTTAATATTTATATTACTTGCGGACCTAGAAGACCTCGAGTAAATCTAGGCGGAAAGTTTAATATTCGGATAGGCTGATGGATTATATTTACAAATTACTTAGAATAAGTTTCCCCTTGCAAAATAAAAATTTTAATAATAATACATGGACGATAGAAGAAGTGACGAATATAATTTTATCTGTATTCAAAACTAGGCATAGGCAATGTTAATACGATATCGATTTTTAAATAGGTGATATTAAATTACTGGTATCATGGTACTAAAACTAGTGCCTATTAGTTATTTACAGCGGCCGGCGATCACAACTTATCGTCGATAATTTTTCAGGGCCAACGCTAATTTAGTTATGTTGGTATCATATAACTGGGCCCGTGCATCAGCAAAGATCCTTAGGTATCACTTTTTCAGAAGTGAGAGTGAAGGGTGACGTCATGCACGAATATTAGCCATTGGAATTTCGTTTTACCGAAAATCCAGTACTGACACAAACTTTCTATGCGAAAATGTTCAGAGAAATTCATGATTAGCAACTGAAACCAAAACCTACTCTATTGTTACATCCATGCAGTAGCATCACGCAACTCTCAACAATGTGATTTCTTGACCACACGAACCAACATAAAACCTCTTAACCACACCGGAACTTCGACATTCGTCGCAACCTGAGCGTAACTTTACCATCGATCAAAATCTGCATAAAACTTCAGCGATGATCGCTACTTGACCGGACTTTTAACGATTAACCAACCGGACTGTAAATTCAACGCTGATTGTAACCTAACCGTAACCTGCAACGTCGATCGAAACTTTACTGCATTTTCCTCGATAATCGCGATAATAGCAGCCTGATGCTAACTTCAACGATAATTGCACACCGACCACACAAAATTTCATATTTGCTCTGATTTTCGCATTTCAAACATACTCGGTCAAGATTTTAACATTGCAATACACTCCCCCTTTAGGAGTGGCGGGTCACACCGGTGCGCAGCTGGACTTCCTGCAGGAGCTGCAGAGCTCCACGGGCGTGCGAGAGCGGGTGTGAGTAAACGGCGGCCTTATAGCAACAGATAATTTTAATTAAACTTGATTCATTTCATTTGAGATCAAAAATTTTCTATAGATATAATTCTATCTCCAATTTCGTTGCAATTTTAATCATGGTATGTAATCAAAACAAACAAATGATTATTGAACTTGATTATATGAAAATTTTAAATTAAATAGGAAGAATTGACAAATCTTTATCTGCCTTGTGCTACTTTCATAGCAGCAATGCTTCAGAGCGACAAACGATTTGACTAAGAAGATTGGTCCTTGACCGCATTGATCTATGGTTCATAAATGATCACCAATATGACCGTATCACCTGTACAGTTCACAGGTTCTGGTCCGTTCAAATGAGCTGGTATTGATAATTGGTTTATGAATTCTAATTCAATTTCTTAATTTAAGTACAAATGAAGGCAACTTTTACCTTCCGAGTGGGAGTTTGTTGTTGCCACGGACTAGAGATGATTTGTTACAACATCTTAGACATCGCTGGTTATGAATTACTATTACAATTAATATATACAATTACTGCATCATAGGCATCATAGTTGCTCGTTATAAAGTTGTTATATCTATGTCATGGACTTATACATATGTTACCTTGTATGTGCGTGCCATAGTTGCAGAAGTGAGAGTGCTTCTCATTTTACACTCTTTAAATGTTCTAAATGGTAATCTAGCCACTCATGTGTATTAAACCAAAATTGTACATCGCCAGAAACTGCGTCTCAGCAAAGTTCGCCTCAAAAGTATGACGCTAAGATTCTACAAGGCCATGCTTATTTCAGCGGTGATAGGAAGACGCTCGTAAACATTTAGTGGATTTTGAATCGGCTTTCTAAGATAAACCACTCAGGTGAAAATTCGCTTCTAAAACAAGTATTTGACTGATTCAAATTTCTCTTAATTTGCATTAGCACAATACTTCAGAATATAATCCGTTCAATCATAGTTCGTAAATCCACTTCTCGAGCTCCTTTTTCACATACACGTCGCTCTGAGGGACTTCACGGTTAAATAATGTACGTTTAAAAATTACTTTTTTAAAAACAACTCTTCTAAAGAATCCAGTGTCTCCAATGTTACACATGTACGATGAATTTCTAATTTTATTTTCGGATATTGAAAAATAATTTTTAAATTTTTTAATATATAAAAAATCAAAATTATTTATCTTGTTAATTGATTCATGCATTGTCTCTGACTTTACGCAAATGTTCAAAATTTCAGATCGATTGGACAGGTAGAAAAGTGTTAAATATCGATTATAAGATTTGTAGCAGACAAACAAACAACAAGAAGTGAAGTTGAAGAGAAATAATATACGTTTAAAAACTACTTTTTAAAGACAACAGTATCTCCAATCTTACAGATGTATAATGAATTTCTCATCTAATTTTTGAAAATTAAAAAAATTAAATTTTCAATTTTTTAAATATATATAATTTTTTTATATATAACTTTTTTCAAAATTATTTATTCTGTTAATTGATACGTGCACTGCCTCTGACTTCACACAGGTGTGCAAAATTTCAGATCAATTAGACAGGTAAAAGTGTGTCAAATATCAGTTATAAGATTTGTAGCTGACAAAATTATTTTTTCAATTTTTTTAATATTAAAAAAAAATTCTAAAATCATTTATTTTGAGATTTGATTGATGCATTGTCTCCAACTTTACACAAGTGGGCAATATTTCAGATCGATAGGTTAAGTAGAAGTGTATTAAATTTCGATTACAAGATTTGTAGCAGACAGACAGACAAACAGACAAGAAGTGAAGTTAAAGAGAAGTGTTGTAATGTTGTAAAAACTGCAGCTGGCCAATGTAAAGGGCCTACGTGCAATACTCGTTGCGGTGCGCTGAGTTTTCCGAATAATCACATTCTTATTCAAGGTCATCGTCGTTTTCTTCTTAATACGCGAGTATTATATTCCAGGAAAACGTTTCGTGTTACCGAAAATATTCCCGCAATTCCTCTACACTGCGCGAACCCATCGAACGGTGAATGCAAAGTTTCATTAACTTTAGGCTTTTTTCAGTTTTATGGCAGCATTTCTAAGCACGTATTCGCGATAAGTGGCCGCCCTTATTCGCTCGCTGCATAGATACGCACAGAAGTTTGTGTGCCAGTGTGGTTTCTTGGATACCATCGCATTGTAGCTGCTAGCCCACTGAATTTTTTTGGAATCTTCGTATATTAGGTATAATTCGGCATTTTCTATGCCATGCAATATTTCTTCTTTTTTAAAAAAGACTTGGCAATGCAAACCTATTGAAAATCAGATGTCCTGACTTGGTATGTCGAATAGAAAGAACTTGTAGAGCGGAATTACACTGAGGGTAGAATTTTGCCGTGAATATAATCAGTTTCCTTCAGTATGAAATGTGCGGTTCGGCAAGATAACTGAAATAATGCTATAATATCAGCACATACGTTTACGACCACGTTCGAATGCTGACACGTTTTCATACGACCATATAAACTTATTGCTGAGCACAGTAGTAAGTAAATTCCGTGAAAAAATTTATTTTCATTTCGGCACTCCTGGTAAATCCAGCTATGAAAATTAATTTATTTGAGATAAAAGTATTAGCCACATGGAAGTGGTGGAAAGCACTCAAATTGCCGTGGAAATGTTAATGTTACATTGCACTGTTACTGGTTGCTAAATGATTAGTATCACATACATCGTCAAGTCGTCAAGCAATCATTCAGAAGTTAAGCCACGCCTCCAAGTCAATAGTGCGCTGCGCAGCCTTTGTACTACATAGCAACAACCAGAGCCCAGGTCACGGGGCAGCGTCTGACCTGGCGTCTGACCTTCGTATCCATGATACCGGAATGTGGAGTTGCCCGTTGTCTGGGACGCGCCAGCGGCACGCGGCCTCGCTGACCTTAACGCTAGCATGTATTACAGGCGCGTTATATATATCATAACGAATACATTGATGTGTGATCGGGATTTGAAGTTAAGCTTAATCTACAATTTTCATCGGAAAAGAATTAGCAGCATGTTTTGCTAGAGGTCAGATATATAGTAAAAAATGCACGAATCAATAATTGATAAATTAAAATAAATATTTCCCAATCAACTTGACAAAAAAAATTATAACCATCATTTCGAGACACAGCGCTAGCAATAAATTCAGGAATTTCAAGTCCAAGAATTTGTAATTTTATATCAAACAAATGCATAAATCAATGCACAATAAAGAATATAACAAAATATGCAGATGTGATAATTTAACTCCAATTTCAAAACATAAAAAAAGTTTGCAATCAATCAATATTTTAGGAGTATTACCTTTCAATTATATAGTAAAAGAACTTTCTGACCCGATTGGCCTACGGTAATGCCACACTTTATGGACTTCCGAACACGGCACTAAATAAATTGCAATCCGTTATGAGCGCTGCTGCTCGACTCGTTTGCAGTAAGCGAAAATCCGACATTGTGTTGCCGATATTGCGCGATCTTCACTGGCTGGGCATGCAGCAGCGCACGAAGTTCAAGGTCGCTGTTCTGACGTTCCGATGCCTTCACGGTCTGGCGCCTCCTTATCTCACGGAAAGTCTGCAGCGCGTGTCGGAACTGTCGTGTAGAAGACGACTGCGATCGTCATCAACAGCGGATCTCGTTGTTCCATCTACACGTCTATCTACCGGCGGCGTAATAGAGATCCTAGTCGCCTCCGCCAGAACCTGGAACAGGCTGCTGGCTTCCGTAACATTGGCTCCTTCGTTGCAGGTGTTTCGTCGACGCCTAAAGACGGAACTATTTCGTAAAGCCTCTGAGTCAAGTGTTTTGTCATTTTTATCTGTGCTCATCCTTTTTCCTGTTTATTCATTTCTCGGTTGCTATCAAATTTATGTGTAACGTGCCCTCGAAGTTCTTTTGAACCAGACGCCACGATAAAGGCTTCGTAGAATAATAATAACAACAATGATAGCTACCGTACACTCTTCTCGCAGGATGTCGCGCCTTTTCAACACGGATGCGTACGCCTCCTTCAACGCCTCCTTCAAGGACCTGCTGGCAAGCGGCCACCTGAGCTTCCTGTCGGTGGAAGAGGCAAGAGCCCTGCCATCAAACTTGTGGCGCATGTACGGGGTGAGTGTTGGGTGAGTCCTTAATGTGGCGCATGTACGGGGCGAGTTTTGGGTGAGTCCTTAATGTGGCGCATGCACGGGGTGAGTGTTGGTGAGTCCTTAATGTGGCGCATGTACGGGGTGAGTGTTGGTGAGTCCTTAATGTGGCGCCGGTACGGGGAGAGTTTTGGGTGAGTCATTAATTAATGTGGCACCGGTACGGGGTGAGTTTTGGGTGAGTCCTTAAATGTGGCGAGTACGGGGTGAGGGAAGCGTGAGTGATTCTGAATGACAAAGTGAAAACCGTTCGTTCAGATTGTAAAAAATTCAATGGGGGGTGACGCTCAATTTCTAATGGGATGTAAAATTTAATTTCTAGGCTGGCTGAGTGAATTATAACAATCTCTTGATTCCACTGCTTTCATTCACCAAGAATATCAGAAGTTATTACATTTTCAGTGATCTTCACATAAGTTTTTCTTTCCAATGCATTTCATTACACTTCTTCACGTGCATAATTCCGGGGTATAGTATTTCCAGTCAATACTAGACACTCACAATTAAACAATATAAAACGTAGGCACCGAAGACAGTGAACTTAGATACTTTATACGCCACCATGGCTAGTGTGTACCTAATGCGTTGGACGCATTTTCTATGCACTCATTGCGCAAATTAGTCGATCCACCTTGGAGCTGGACATGCAATCCAGCCTTGTTGTCTGAAATTCAGGGGAGCTGATGCTAGGCATAGTGAAGCATATTTGTCATTCCTCAGTGAGGTATCAAACTACCTCTGCTTGGAACTGCCGCAAGCATTTATTTCATATTTTTTTGTTTATTGCGCTGCGTGAATCCAGTCAAGAAAAAATTATATCAATGTATTAGTCTGGCCAAATTCTTGTTAATAATTTTTTTCATGTAAATTAAGAGATATTTTATTAACAAACAGGGAAATATTCCGAATTCTTACATTCAACATTGCACAAAAGTCATAATATTGTAGTATTTGCAAAATCTCAGAAAAGCTCCGGAACTAATGATTTAAAAGATTCGGCAACCGAGACTATAGTAAAGAGAATAAACTAGGCCGTATTTTAAATAATTTATTTTAATAATTAAATTCATCAAAGCCCACTGTATTTATTATTTCGTATTTTTTCAATTATCAGTATGTCTTTTTGTACGGCGCCATTTATTTATCTCCAAAACGGAAATGGGTTTGCCGTAAGATGGTTGGGTAATTGAAAGATTTCTTTTAAATAATTCCATTGAACCGACAGCTACATGCAATACTGAATGCGATGTACCTTAAATTGATTAAATGATTACTTATCTACGAACATTCTATGTTGATAAATGGGATTTAAATTACGATTATTCCTGTTGTTGTTGCGCCAAGTATGGCCTATATTATTCCATTCAATCAGCAGGGCGTCCCTAGGTATACACTTGTGCCCGAAATTATTCATACCCTAACGTCATTTCCACAAATTACGAGAAATAGGCCAAAAAATAATTATCTAAAACCTTAAAACAAATTTAAACCATTTATGAACCATATAACATGTATTTGAAAACCCCCATAAAAACATTATTTTTCAGTTTTGTAAAGAGATACAAAGGAAACATAAAACTGACACATGACCAAATTTATTCGTACCCTGAATCATTAGTTAATATCATGGCCTTTTTACTCGTGATAACTTGTTGTAAACGCTCAGTGTAATGGTCAACAAGGTTCCTGCATGTATCGACGCAAAGTTTTGTCCATTTTTCCAAGGCATATTGTTCCAATTCTTTCAAATTTTTAGGTTGTCTCTTTTTCATTTCTATTGTCAGTACGCGCCACAAATTCTCAATTGGATTGAGATGGGGAATTCGACTAGGCCATTCCATGACATTGATGTGAGAATCATCGAAATATTTATTGACTATTTTCGATGTGTACTTCGAATTATTATCCTGCTGAAGAATCCAATCAGGACAAAGAAAAAACTTTCTGCATCCTGCTTGATGTTATTTTTGATAATATCAAAATATTGTACTTTTTACATGATTCCGATTACTTTGTAGTATACGTAGACTTCCAGGTCCCCTGTCAGAAAATGAACCCCAAAAGATAAGATTCCCACCGCCATGTTTAACTGTGGGGATTGTTTTCTTTGGATTATGAGCCTCACCTTTTTTTCGCCAAGCGTAAGCAACATTCATATGCCCGAATAATTCAATTTTAGTCTCATCTCTCCACAAAATCTTGGATAAAAATGGGGTTTGGTAATCGACAGGAGTTTTAGGAAACTTCTGGCGTGCTTTGACATGCTTTTCTGTTAGCAAAGGGGTTTTCCTGAGTCGACAACCCTTCAGTCCGTTACGACGCATTGTTCTTTGCAATGTTTGTCTTGATACATTCATATCAAAAGCATCCAAATTTGATAGAATTTCCATACTAGTGATCCTATAATTGTTGCAAATTGAGCGTATTATGTTTCTAGCACATCTAGGGGAGATTTGTCCTTTCCTTTCTCGACCAGCAATGTTATCCACCGTGATAAATGGTTTGAATTTTTTTATAATGCTCTGTATTGTAGACGTAGGAACATCAAACTTCTCAGATATTGCTTTGTATCTCATCTCTTCTTTGCGGGAATTTATCATTTTGCTTCCGAGATCATCACTAAGCTCTTTTTTCTTTGCAATCTTCAAACTTTCAGCACAATTTTAGCTTTTCCCAAAATTGTGAAAAAAATTATATTTTTCAAACTTTGCAGAAAAAAATATTACAGTGCTTAGTAACACCAAATTTTGTAATATAATTATTGTGTATCTACTACTATTTTCATTATTAGTTCTTCTTTAATATTATAATAAATGATCTGGAATAAGAGGGTACGAATAATTCTGAACGGTTAGTTACTCACAAAATTCAAAGTAATTACTATCGAAAGTTATTATATACGTATTTTCTAGCATTAAATTTGTTGTACATAATAATGACAATCCTTCCTAGAAGAATAAGTTGTAAATGATCTCTATTGTTCATTAAAATTGGAATTTTATTATATTTCTGAAGGGGTATGAATAATTTTGGGCACAAGTGTATATGGCGAAATATAAGGAAAATAGTGAAAATTTGTGAAAAATCAGTGAATCTTATATTAGCATGATATATAAGCCACTTCATGTGCATTTGTTATATGATTAAATGTTGAATAATCCTCAACATTCTAATATTCTATGCAAAATTATCATTAGGTGTAATACTCTTTACGCTATGGGTGCATCTTAACGAATGTGCATATTGTTTTTTTTATATTAAATGACATTTTCATTGTGTAATTTGATTTAGGTACATTTTTTTAACTAAGAAAGGATCCGATAAATAAAAAAAACAGAATATGAGATTAAATTATGTTCCCGACTAAGCAACTTATTAATTTGCCCTACCATATAAACTAGCGGTAACCAAGAAAAACAAGTTGAATCCATTCTCAGCTCATCAAAACGAAAACGCTCAGCTTGCAACGCTTTGAAGGTGGCTAAAAAGGTAACTCCGAACATACTTTCCATTGAAAGTTATTTGCTTGGTCATTATGTTCATTTAACTTCAGCAACCACAAGCTGTACTAGCATCAAACTTATTTTGAGACCTAGATGGAGTAGTTATTACGATTTATACAATATTACACATTTTAAGTTTAAATCTACTCTGTGGCGAAGTCTGCTATGCTGGACATTTTTAGGTTTGCAGGCTTGAATTAAATAGCAGCATTGAAACATTTAGCAAAGAAATTAATCATCATACAGTTCGTCTCCTTTAGAGTGTTAATGAAACTTGCATTATCGTTTTGCGTCTACATCCAACAAATTTTTCACTTGTATCAATATCTAACTTGACTTATTCCTCAGCATCTCCCTTGTGGGAACCAGGCATGACACTCAGCATGGGTACTATGATATTGTGTTCAGTCCCTGAAGTTTACTAGTTGTCAAGTTGTGTATATTTTGAGCCCCTAATGAACACGATTTAGCTTGTCTAATGAACAGCCTTCTTCAAACTCTTAGTTGAAGAAATTATCTATCTTTTCGATGATGTTCAGCACATTATTTCATTACGAATTCCCAGAGGAACAACACCCGAAACTGGTATCGATCCCATCATTTGATAAAATTTTTGTCGAGTAGTTTGTACATGGCAAAATTTGTTCCTTTGCGCGTGCTCTCTTAGACTTTGGGTAAATTTTTAACTCATTTACGCACGACACTTTCACAGGCGTTTTCCCTACTCACGCTGAGGAATGACACGCGGGACTTGGTGACGCCGTATTTGTCGCAGCGCGTCAGGGATGAGATGGACGTCCTGAGGAGAGTCAACGTCACCCTGCCCCAGGCCATCGACAGGCTCAAGAGCTTGCTTGTGGACGTTAACGTGAGTGATCTTGATTTGAAGATTTTTCGCAGCTGAGCCGCACAAATTTGATGGTGCAAGTGTTTGAGAATAAAATGGTCGCTCATAAAAGTAAGGCAGTCTTTAGTTAATAAAAAAATTTTATGGCTGAAACGACAAACTGTTGAGAGACACTATCTTTGATCACTACTTTGAGCAGCACTCTGGGTGATAACATGTCGCGGAATTCACTGACCGACCCTCAAATTTGAAACTGTTTAGCATAAAATTAGTAAAATTAGCATTTAAAATTTTATTTCTTTTGTCCAATGGGGTTCCAGAGGTGAAAGAAAGATTTATTTAACTAATTTTAACGCATAAGGTCAAAATGTTGTAGCGGGGAACCACTAGCATGTACTGACCATGATCGTTAGTCTACTATACATTGCGTTGGCGAGATAATCGAACACCAGCCTGGCTGAAGGTGATCATGGTGCAAGTTATGAAGTCATAATCATGAACAAAATACGCTGAAACCAAAGGATATTTATCATTTCTTTCTTTTCAATATAACAATTTCGATTAACAAATATTCTTTAGAACTGGAGTCTATACCATTACAATGTCCTCACACATTGTTTCAAGGTGATATACGACTGCCGTGCTTCCAGTGTTAATGGACTCATTCTGTGAATGCCAGCAGGAGGCGGTATTTATTCGCGACTAATTAATAAATGAATAATGTGCATCAGTTTTCACACAGTGTGAAGAAAAAGAGTAAGGACCAGTTGCACTATTATTCGGATATAAACATTTGTATTAGTAGTGCTCTCTAAGTTTCTCATTTTGAGGGCAATGCAGGGCAAAAAATTGTAGGGCAATGATTAATTTACATAAAATAATGTAAATAAATGACTTCATTTATGGACGATTTCACTGCTACGACCTCCTAATTTTGTTTCTAATTGAACGTACTTAAATTAATTAAGAAAAAATGTATTGACGGCTGAACGAAAGCTTTCCAACAATTGATTGATCTAAGGAATTGGTCCATGTAAAGAATTTTACTAGGCATACTTCTCTCGTGTACATAAGGTTGGGACCTTTTAGGCAGGACCAGAGTTAATGAGCTCAGACAAAATTCATTTTGAACCAAACTTGACCGAGATTGTTCAGCAATTTGGTACGTTATCATTTACTTATGTTATGATCCTTTTTATTACTTGTTAACCTTGGCTATTTTCTCTATATTGTTTATAATCTCGAATAACCTCGATTTGTGTTCAAATTGTTCATTCTTTGTTTTCAGAAACCGTTACAATCCACAACGAGTTTTCATTCTGAACAATCCCCTGAACAAAGAGCCATATTCTTTACAGTCCATATAATACATAATATATAATAAATTACATAACATGATCCAAGGACTTGATTCATATAATAATATGATGAACCATGCAATATACTTTCTTGCCGCCTCATTTCCATATGTTAGAGATCAAGTCAACTTAGAGGTAAAGAAATATGCCAGCATTGCTGTTCGATTTCAAAATGTGCTTAATCGTTCCTTAAGTTTTCTAAAACAGTTACTTCTTTGTACGTGAACAAATTTGTCGATGAGCCAAATTGTTTTTAATTAAGTCCGTTGTTTATTATTCCCAACGCAATACAATAACTGATTCGCATTGTGTTTTGAAAAAATGATCACGGAAATAAATACCAGGTCGGAATAATAGAAATTGTTCACCGTCTTAGGCCTCATCCCACGGGCAGACTTGAAAAAATTTTGTGCAGTTTAGACATGCTATGGGTAACAATATACGCCTCTACAGCCTAAACGTCCATTTACACCAGCCGAGCGTTATTTTAAAAGGCGAATTCTAAAATATTTCCTAACTGATTCCGTTTAGTGTAAACGGAAACTTACACCGAACAGGGCTTGAGAGCCACGATCGCGATTGTTGTCAACTTTTCCGCTACTAGCGCGAAATTTGCGAGAGAATAAAGAATTTAGAACAATGTTGACTAACCGTTCATGCCAAAGTATTTTATAATTTTCTGTAACCAGGCACCACGTATGGAAGTGGCTCTACTGCTGGAGATGCTAGGGGACTCCGGGGACTGGACGCAGGAGAACATCATCAACCTGAAGCCCATCCTCTTCCAACTGCCCATCGCCATGCTCACCAACCTACGCGACGCGCGCACCATTGCCATACTGTTAGTACACAAACACAGGTCACAAGTAAAAAACAACCTTATAAATCTACCCCGCAGCAAAATGCATCAATGTTTTTACATTTATAGATTTTGAATGAATGAACGTTCAATGAATCTCTTTTTACTCTACTAACAACAAGGGTTCTGCAACGAAAAAGTTTAGCTGTCCTGGACATCTTTCTCACAATTACTGGCTATTTAATTACCAATTCAAAATTTCAAAGATTATCTTAACGTTGAAGATCATTTTGTTGCACAGGTATGAAGAATTGAACCTATGCATGAACAACTCGGTCAACAAGTCAGCCTCGTGCCCGAGTCAGGCCGAGTCTAGGGGCGAGGGGACAACACCGCGCGCCCAGTACATGCTGTCGCTGCGGGCGTGGCTCATCGAGAAGACCTACGGCGACCCCAGCAACTGGGACCGCGACACCTTCGCCAAGATGACCAACCTCAGCATCCTGCCCGACGCTTTCTTCCTACGACTGCGTCCTGAAGTCCTACTGACGCGCAAGGATGAGATACTAACCGTGAGTCAAGTTCGCAATAGAAGCATGTAAATGACATCACGTATTAGATATATGACCACGCGATGACACAATTGTGACTCGATGCAATTTTGTTCACATCTCTTACACAAGTGAAATTTTATGTAATTGGTGACATAGAAAAGAACGAGATTCAATATCCAGAGCTATTTGTTGAATAAGGTTTAAAGATTGTAGGAAACAATAAGTAGAATTATCCGATTATTTTCATGTTTACAATTGACTATATTAACGCAGATGCTGCAAACAAAAGTACTGAAACTGCGAGCGTTAGGCCGCTACCTCGTCGAAAGGATCTTCGAGGCCGAGAAAGTGAGGCGTGAGAATAATGACCTGCAGCCGCTCATCTCGCAGCAGGAAGTCGACAGGGTTTGTCGGAAAGATTCACCGCAATTAATGACAGCATTCGTTGCGCCTACATTTATTATCCTTAATAAATAACAACTCACTTGGTAATATTTATAATATCTTTAATGAATAAATCTTTAATATATAAGTATATATAGAAATAATATCGTTATTTCTTGCATTGCGGAACTAGGTCCGATATTATACCCATGAGTATCTTTAATCCTCTACGTTACTAGTTACATCGCAAATAGAAGCTCAATCTTTAAATTAGCTCTCTTCACTTATTCCAGGGAACGATGAGCAGACGTAGAGATGCTTAGCAAATTACCATTAATCATTAGTTGATACTGACACCAGCGGTGATGATTTAACAATATTGCATTGAACGATTTTTTCTGATTATTCGTTTACCGAATTATTAATTGTAAATTTTTCGTTGATGGTAATATTGATAACCTCCGTACAACAAACAGATCAAGGCCGTGATCAGCCCGCTGCGCACCGCAGGCCTCATGCAGTTCGTGTACGCCACCGACCTTCCCAATGAGGTGCTAGACGCCGACGACAGACTCATCCGCAACGAACTACGCTCATTCACCACCGATGCGCTGCAAGGCGGTTCCATCGACGCATTGGTATGTCCTCGTATCGTAAATCCTGAATAAGGTCGCAAGTTTAGGGATTTTTGCTGTTAATTTATATCGAATTGCCTTGATCTTAGGTTTCCTCAGAGACCCTCCACTGTATTCATCCCTGCAAACTCAACTTTATGCTCTCCTATGTCTCAAGCTTGGGATCCTATATGTCTTATGTTCTGATGACACAAAATCTTGTTATTTCAACCAATAATTTTGTAAAGCTCGACGCGAACTACGAGTATCGCAATTACAACTATCGCAAATTTTGTCAGTAAACGTTAAAGATATTAAAATTCTCCAATAGTACTATACATTTTGAAATAAGTCTTTGAGATGCGTTCATCCTATAGGTGCTGGAAACCACCATACAGAGCTTGTTCAGCTACCCGCAGCCCCTCACCAGTGAGCAAATCCGAACACTTGGTGAGTAATTGCGAAACAAAAATAATTGTCTGGTCACATATTCTGGTATAGTATGGATGATTGTGGATGAGAGTTGAGTTAAAATATAGAGGAGTCCACGTTAATAAGATTTATTGAGACGTAAACGTAAGTGAGGACATGCAACTCAGTTTCGACGATTCATTGCAACTTTTACACAGGTGGACTTGATGGCTGGTTTCACCATGCACAGAACTTTATCGAACTGGATAATGCATATGTATGAAAATGAACTTAATGACTTCCATCGTTTTTTCAAACTTTTGTTTTTCCACTTTTTGAGCCCCATTGTATATATATAGTTATGCAGGTACTGAAAAACTCGCACATGAATGTTCCGGGAGGCTTCTGCCCACTGTCTTCCGCTCGAGGTTCGAAGTGCAGTCTCTGGGAAACTTGCAAGTGCGATAGGCTAGGCCAACGCAACTCTTGCCATACACACAGGAGAATATAAAGTCGGCAATGCGATTCTAGCTAGTCGCTGATTTCGGTCGGGTGGCCAAGCAGACCTAGAATAACTCTAACACAGCTATGGCGAGACTGCCGCGGAGGCTGAAGCATACCCCAAATTTTGTTAGGGGGCGTGACGTAATAAAGTTTGTTTGGCTTGGGTATAGAAAGTTTTATGTAAATATTGAAGTACACGTATGAGAAATTGAATGAAGTTAGCAAAAATTGCGGTTATTATTTTAATGTGGTCTGATGGTGTGATGGATCCTGGCTTTGATTTACAAATGACGTCCTGGTGTAGAGTGGTCCATCGTGTGGGTGACGTGATTGTTGTCGTGTGGGTGACGTGATCCTCTATTTCTGTTAAAATGTATTTATCGTGTGATTACATGTGGTGCTAGTTGTACTTCGATACAATGACACGGATGTATGAGCTCCTTCTCATAAATTACTGCTAATTATCTGAGATGCCCAGCATATTAGATTTTGTTCTACAATTACCATAAGGGCACAATCAATCATTATGCAGGTATGAGCCGCCTGGCGCTGACACCAGGTCGGGTGCTCAAACGTTCTCTCATGAACTACACCATGGACTACTCAGAGCTTAAATGGCTCATTACCGCCATTCAGAACACTGCTGGCTCCACATCACAGGCCAAGGTCGGTGCTCGTGTCGCGTTCACGTAAGGGTGTGGTGTTCTTGATAGTTGCCAGAGGTGGGCAGTAGCGCGCTACATGTAGCGGCCGCTACATTTTCAGTAGCGGTAGCGGCTCTACATTTAAGGCAATGTAGCGGTAGCGGTAGCGCCCGCTACATATTTAAGTAGCGATACGAGGTTTTGCCGCTACAGCGCTACCGCTACATTTATAGATAAAGCCTTTAGATTTTACTTAATAGTATTAAATATTATTTAAAAACCAGCATAATACATACATAATAGATATTACAGAATAAAACTGTACGAAAGATTTAGGTGTAATGTTGTCAACCTCAGCCTGTTACTAGTGTCAACATGTTAGTTGTTACTTGTTAAGTTGTTACTAGTTACCACTTACAGGTTTTTTTCATCTTTCAGTTTGCTTACAGTTATTTTTACACAGTTATTTTTATGTTTCACCTTCCCTACATGGATGTCTACTTCAATCTACCAATCTCAAAAATAATCCACATATATATGCAAAAAAAGACTGATTTTTATATGTATATGTGGATAATTTCTTAGATTGGTAGATTAAAGTTCACATCCATGTACGGAAGGTAAAACATAAAAATAACTGTAACTTCTATTTACTGTATCTAACCCTGGGGTAACCCATACTAGTTCGGTTAGGTTAATTGCAGTAAAGTTGCATTGATATGTTTTAAAAATGTTTTATTATCATTAAATGTTAATGATTAAATCCCAATAGCAGAACAATAAATATTTAGAGATTTCCAATAATTTTGGCCATTGTAGCGGCTAATGTAGCGCGCTACATTTTACTGTAGCGGTAGCGCCCGTTACAATCTAGTGGGTGTAGCGGTAGCGGTAGCACCCGCTACATTTAGAGCATGTAGCGGTAGCGGTAGCGCCGCTACATTTCCAAGTAGCGCTGCCCAGCTCTGATAGTTGCATGAGGTAATGGGATGGTTAAAATGTATCACTAAGGAAATGGTATTGAAGTATTTTTTAACAGTCGTAAAATCGTGTCGTAATGGTTATGTGAAACCAACCACCAGCTGATGATGATCAGGACCGAAGTTTGGGCCGTGGGTGGAGGACGGCTGGCACTAGAGTACATTCCTGATGAGCTACTGAGCGCCATTAGCATGGAATCCTTCGAAGACAGCTTTACATCTGATAGCATTGAAATGCTGAAACGTAGCAGCTATGACACGGCCCAGACAGCTATCCTTATCTTAAACGTGAGTTTGGGAATCAGGGACTTTGACAGCAACATCCATACTCAGCAATTATTAATGGTCATCCTTAATGGGTGGGCAAGCAATGGGCTACCAACAACAATTATTTCTACATTTTTTAACTTTAAGGGCGACCATTTTATCATCGAGTCACTCGCAGCCGGAGTATGACTTGCAGCTTTACATGGGGAACAATATTCTCATGCACTTTCATTAGCTAAATAGTATAAATTTTAAAATTATCACTTTAAACGAAACCTGTCGATTCTATGCATGATATCCGAAAATTGAAAGTTTTTAAATTTGCTGCAACGAAGACGTATGTCTTTTTTTAGACGAAATACTAAAAATTATCAGCTTCTACAAGCTAATAATGTTTTCATTAAACATTATTAGAATTTTAGGCTCTTCGAGCAAATTCATACCAAACAAACAAAATAGATTCCATCAAGGTTTCCTCTGGCAAGTAATTCGGCACAGCAATGGAATTTCAAAACATTTCAAGGTGGTTGCGTCAGATCTACTGAAACTACTTTCCGGCAACACTAAGGAGAGAATTCCAACCAATAATTACAACGACCGCAGTAAGGACGCCTTGAAGGAGTGGGCCCTCGGTATGCTTCCCTCATCCAAGTTGGTAAGATGTAGGGAACTTAAAATGCCATAATTCTGTGACATACTGAATAATTTTTATTGCTCTTTATGCCATACTTATAACAATCTTATCTTATTTAACTTCATCTAACACATAGCCTACTAAATGGGGTCATTATAAGAAAAAAATTTCCATACAGCTGCAATTCGAAATTCAATAGCTCTTATAAAAAATGAGTTCATCATTAACATTTAAAATCAGCCAGAATGTAAATCTCAGTAGCATACAAGTGATTTAGTTGAACAATGAAGATGTATGTTTTCATCACATCTTTCGTGAACATAAAAACCTAATTTTTTAACATTTCATGATTAGTTTACATGTATCATCGCACCGAAGTATATCCATTTCACAGAATTGCACGACAAAGTGGTTCTCAATAATTAGTTCAAATTGGACTTGGCGATCCATCACTTCACACTCCTTTTTCCGCAGGGCTTAGCGATGTCAGAAAAAGCTTTCAAGAACGGGGTAAATATGAACACCGACGCCAACGCGGCGATGTTCCTGCAGGCGGTGGACGCCAGGAACATACCGACCTCCAACATCGTCCAGCAGCTCGAGTACATGAAGGATGGCTTCCCTACACGCCAAGCAGTATGTTTTCTCACCTCACATTAACACACTCATGTTTGCACAATTACCCAACTGGACTCTTTCATGCCCGTTAATATGACTCGTGGAATTATTCCCTCCAGAGCCTAAAAGTACTAAAACTCTAAGCGTGTCAGGACCGTTAAGGTAAATGGGTTAGTATGAATTAAAGAAAACCGCTCGACTATACCAGTGGTTTCCCAACTTTTTCAGACTGGCGCCCCCTTTGGCTCTCCAGTAAATTTCTAGCGCCTCCCCCCACTGGCACGTATAAAAACCAACTCCTCTTTCTGGATATTTAGTACGCTGCAATTTGAAAATTGAAAGGTTAAACACTTATGTGTAGTTCACAAACAGAACCTCATTTAGTAAACCATTATATTTTTGAGCAGCTTTAACTGCTTCAGCAATAGAAACCCAGGACGTCTCGGCAAATTTTTGGCCGGACCCGTGGCCGGTAATATCTCCCAAACTAATGAACGCTGCTCGATGAAACTTGGAACACGTATTCACTAGGTCCTAACTGTGATGTTTAGCTCGTGAATTTTTTATTTTAATTTGGCCTTCATTCGTGAATTATATGGCGATACGGGCCGAAATTCGCAGGGATCAAAGAATTTCTTCCAAACTACTGAACACCCAGTCAAGCAGGCCTTGATCGATCGATGAAGATTAGAACGGATCGATGAAGAAATTGATGCAGATTCTTGCTCGATCGACGAGGGCAAATCCCCATTTGGAGTGGGCAACGGAGAGGGCAATGTCGCGGGGCGCGACGACGATTATCGAGGAACTTTCTATGCCGATTCAGCGAAGATCGTCGAAGTTTCTGCACCTGATAATTTGTTGAATCGAATAATCTGCATCGATCGATAGATGAGCACGACTAGCCGTTCGAGCTTCGTTCAAACGGATGTCGACTACGCATGAGTGCTCGCTTGGCGGTAGCACCTCCAAACTGTATACTGCCTTCAAAAAACCTGAGCTCTGCTCAAATCACTCTCCTAGTGACACAGTACATGGTAATTCAAATACACAGGAACATTATACAGAAAACGAAACACCAGCACGTATTAGAAGGACATTTTATCGCGAGTATACTTGTAGCTGCACGATTGACGCCACACTACTGGAAATTAGTCATGGATGAGCACCACTCGTTCGACTTCGTTCAAACGGATGTCGTTTGCCTGAGTTCCCGCGTGACTGTAGCACCTCCAAACTTTATACTGCCTTCAAAAAACGTGAGCTCTCTTCCAATCACTCTCCTGATGACACAGTAGATGGTAATTAAATACACAGGAATATTACAGAAAACGATCACTTAAAAGGACAACTTAGACTAGAGCACTTAGAAGGACTTAGACTTAGAGCACTTAGACGACACAACTGAACGCGAATGATGCATCGACACTACTGGTTCGTTCTTCGACTGTTCGACAAGCCTAACGTCGTCTGTTTGAGTGCTCGCGCGACGGTTGCGCCATAAAACTTTAAACTGCCTTCAAAAGAATTCTTCTTACTTACTACTAACACTACTAAACTACATAATAAAACTTCCAAACTCTAAATTCGAGTGCAAATGGACTATAGATAAGTCGTGACGTATCTCATAACCTAAAATTTAAGGCAATTCTAAAGAAATAAATTATCTAAATTAAAACTCATGTAATTATATTGAATTATTTATAGATCTTTACACAATTACACAAATGATCGTATTTTGACACGAGATCATTAACAGTTTTCGAGTTATGAACTAAAATAAGTTATATGAACCAAAATATTTGTTGTCGGTGCGACGTTAGTTTACTTCGATCATCAGCGATAAACCCACAGTCGAAAATTCGCCGTGTATCTGTAAAGATTGTCTAGGGAAACTCGACTGCCAAACCATCGAGTGGGCCGATCTTTCGCGATATGACATAACCCACCATAATCGACTTCGTTGCCCACATTGCTGCTTGACTGGGCAGATGATTCGAACGAAATTTTGAATATACATTCCTAACTACCATGCGGTGATTTTTAGCTCCTTAAATTTATTTCGATTGTGCCACAATTTGCTAGTTTTTTTCATTTCACCGTCATACGTGATTTGGTACTTCGTTATTCATCCCGTATCGCCGGGTAATTTGTCGCTTGTATTTGCGGTGATCAAAAATATTTCTTCTTAACTTCTGAACAGATTTGAACGAAATTTTGCATACAAATGCCTGACCTCCCAACGGTGATGTTTAGCTCATGACAATTTTATTCTACTTTGCCTTCGTTCTGAGTTATACAGATATACAGAGAAACGACCGGCATTCCTACCGGCCGGTTTAACCAAGATAGCGTTATACGTATAGCCGTATAACTCGCAAACGAAGGCAAAATCGAAAAAATTGGCACGATCTAAACATCACCGTTGCTGAGGTTAGGTATTACATACTAAGTTTCGTTCTAATCTGTTCAGTCCAATTTCTTGATCACTGCGAATTTTAGCACGTATTGCTGTTTAAATCACGAATGAAGGTGAAATTTAAAAAACTCGCGAACGAAGGCAAAATCGAAAAAATTTTCTCGAGCTAAACATCACCGTTCGGTAGTTAGGAACGTTTGGTCAAAATTTCGTTCAAATCTGTTTAGTAGTTTGGAAGAAATTCCTGGATCACTGCGAATTTCGGCCCGCATCGTCATATAACTCACGAATGAAGGCATAATTAAAAAAATTCACAACCTAAACATTATCGTTAGGTCCTTTTGAATACGTGTACCAAGTTTCATTGAGCTGCGTTCATTAGTTTGGGAGATATTCCTTGATCATTGAATTTGGAGATTGGCCTCGAGACCAGCCGCGAGTACGGACGTAAATATGTCCGAGACCTAAACCCGAGAGAGGTTGAAATAAAAACTGGGTGGAAAACCCCACCGCTGGGAGTCGTGTGCTGCTCATGTTGGGTACAAATCGTCAAACAAACGTTTCAACTGCTGACTTATCAAATTTTCATTTCTTTCCAAGAATTCCTGGAGAATTCTCTTTCGTAAAATTTCTTCTTTTTTGAGAGTAGGAAGTTGCTTCACAGCTAACTGCGTCTACGACTCGTAAGCAATGAATTTCGTATGAAAAATAAATATGAGGATAGTTCATATTATTTCTCAATTTTATCACATTTTATCTGGAATTTCATTCACGACCAGGGTCAAACATTGATCCAAGCATATTTGCTTTCATGAATTCTGTTTAAAAATGATGAAAAACGTAAAACTTTAGATAGAACGATAAAAATTGGGACTTATGAAAAATCCTAAAATCACACAGTTTGGAAGTAGAAAATTTAAAAAATAACATTATACGCATAACGCATAACACATTCATCAATCAACTATATTGCGCCAAATTTCAAGTTTAGCTTTTACTCTTTATAGGGGGAAGGGACTTTTTCGTATATGGTGTCAACCAAACTCGTTATGTTATATTATAATCATGCCAGGCGGGTACATTTATACCGTTTTCTGGATTACAGGCGCCATTCTGACGTCTTCAAAATGTACGCTTTTAACGAAAGAGTCAATTAATTCTCTCTTCGACCAACCCGCTCCTTTTAGATAAAAAATTTCATTCATTTTCAAATGGAAAAGACGCTAGAACATTGTTTTCTTGCAGAATAGGGCCGGACGTGTAAGAAATGTTATATTGGTAAATTACATTAAGATGCATATAAAAATAATAGATAACTTTAGTGAAATAGCCTTTTGCTACAACGGGGTAGCAAGGTGACGAGTTGACTTCGACATACGAGCGCCTTAGCCATATCAACACATTGAATGTTAGCATGACATTGCTAGGCGGTTGCTACGTGATACATACTATATTAGGCAACCAGTTGCGAAATAAGTGGTGTTGGGCTTATGTGACGTTTACGTGGCAACTCAAGATGACATCGAAAATCCATGTAAAGCAAACGTTGAGACTTAGCAATCAGCATTATTTTATTGGACAAAAAAAGGAAAAAAAATTAGATGCCCAAGCACTGGTAAAAACCTAGGAAGTGCTAGTTACTAAATTCTCGCCCCTCAGTGCTACGTTCTCAAGGACCTCTTCGTGAACTACTCGGCGACGGAGATGCTGACGCAGAGTGAGGAGGAGGTCTTCCAGCTCCTCACGCCCTCCGCCATCGAGCGCATGCCCATCTGCGTCGTCGCCGCCTTCGGGTGATTTTTTTATCATTAACCTTTCCTATATGTTGTTCTCTAGTAATTATTCAAATTAATGATAACATTCATAGGATCGTTAATTCAAAATTTCAACCCATCCGCACAATATTATTGAATCTAATTACAATATTCTTACTAACATTGATCTTATCTATAATCTATAAATGAATGTGTTAAGTTGATCTCCAAAATTTAACCAATTTAGAGGAAGGCTACCACTTCCTCGTTCGAACCATGAAAGTATGATCGACGTTGATAACTTTCTTCTTATTATTTTAATTGCAAAGAAGGTAAATCCAAAGAAGGTAAATCCATTCTTCTGTAATCCAAATAAAAATAATTGACAGAGCATCGATGTTTAGTGGATAACGGTGGAAATTATATGTGTGAAGCCGATGGCATGATCCACCGATGTTCCATTTATAATCAGCCAAGGGCCACCCTAAAAAACTCATATTCCACCAATAACTATCCATTGGCTCCGGTGTCGCATCGATGAGCCACCGATGGCCAGCTTTAAAAAAAGAAATCGATAAAAAGTTTTCCTTAAGTTTAATTTCCGATGTTTTGCATTTACTGATATCGCTTCATACGATCACACATTCTGAGGACTACTTATTCACCTTCACCATGGCAGTACAAGTAACAATGTCAGAGATGTAGCAGAACAAATTATCAGAGTACCAGACACATACCTCGTGAAAAATTGACTTGAAGGAAAGTCTGCCGGCAGGATTCGGACTCCGATCGCCCTTGTGTGAAGCCATGCCAGTACCGTTTAGCCATCGCAGAGGAATTGGCACTTGAGTCATTTAAAGAATCGTAATTGAAATATTTTATGTATTAATTTCATCAAATGACAGAAGTTAATGCTACAACCGTGATGATTAGATGGTTTCATCAATAATTTTATTTGAACATGCTGCTATATTTGAGTAAAAAGCCGCTGAAAGAAACTTCGTTTATCCATAACGAATGATGGTTTAGCTCAGAGTTTAAGGCTACGGGAAAACGCTTGATAAGTATCGAAGTTTCATAATGTGAATATTACGCACCTTTTGAAAGATTTTTGATTCGAAATATTTTCGCCAAGAATATTCTTGCGTGAAAGAAGGATTTGATATAACTCAATGATTTTGAAATGTAATGCGGGAAATACCTTCACTCTTTCGTACCACTATTATTCTCTAATATAATATATAATCTTAATCTTTTGTGCAGGAAATATACGAAGGCCGCATTATTAAAATTTAAACTTAAATTCAGAACAATTATCTTACGGTACAAGTAAATTTCCAATAATAATTAAATTTCACTGTTTAAGTCAGATATGGAAAATCAAAATTTTACTAGTATCCCTCTGCGTATAGAGGATACTTTTTTGACAATAAAATTACACGGAAAGCCCAAGATTAATAGGAATGAAGCTCAACGCCCACGCACGCCAACCCAACAGGCATGGACGTGTACTTCATCGACTCGCTCGCTGCGCTTCAGAGATGCCGAGCCGTTTCGACTACATCAACGTGTCTTTAGATAAATGCGGCAACTTGAGAATATTATAGAAATTATGAGGCATACCTAATCGATCCATATAATTTATAATTAATAAAATAAATAAGTTTATCGCAATATTTCAAACACAGTAAGTTGGCGCCTACGTAAAATTCGTAACAAATTTGCGTAATATATCGGGTGAATATGAAAAATTTTCGCAACATAATTTCCCTGGGTCCGTCAGATTTACTCGTCCGTCAGATTATTCCGTACCCTCCTGTCCGTCAGATTTACTCGTACCTACCAAATTTACGCTAAATTTTTGCTAAATTTAGATAAAATCAAAATTTTACAAGCCAAGTACACAGAACAAAGTCACGTTTTAGTCCTAATCTCAAATGAACCGCAACCCAATTACTCCTTCCTATTGGATAAATTAAAGTGCCAAATTCCTACGTGCACTGCGCATTTAGGGCAAATAGTTATCGGTAGCTTAAAAGAGATTTGCCTGCAATGCGTCATAGATTATTCAGACCCTATAAATCATCGATATTTCATCGGTAACCGCCACCTATACTCGCCACCCTCGTGATTTAATGGTGTTATACTGTCGATTTTTAACAGATGTGGCCACTCACCGATTTGACACCTGTAATCTACCATCACCATCGTCACCAATAATCATCGATTATTGGTGACGATGATTATTGTTAATAATCAATAATTAATTGTCACCAATAATCATCGATGCGCCACCCTTAATTTTTTTGGAGGTAATCTATTTACAAAGGGACGAAAGGATCCGATCGCAATAGCACAAAAATTGCAAGAAAATTTTTAATCGCATTACTGGCCAACTTATCGTACGATATTTGAAACTTCTCCGGTGATAATGAAAACTGGTTTCAGCAACAGTAGAAGTCATAAAAAGGTTAACATAATGATAACTTTGAATCAAAACTTAACACTGAACTATTCTTCTCAGCCCTGATCGACTTCGGCGCCTGGATGGTGTCAGCAAAACAATCCTGCTGGACCGCCTCGTCGCTAACAAGTGGATGGCGCTTACCTACTCGTCCATCAGCCGTGCTGCCCTGCTAACCATCGTGGACGAGGGGCTCAATGCTAAGGTGAAGCAGGGTGGTCGTCGGGTGAATAAAAACACCGTCTTAAAGGTTCTTTACATCCCACTACGATAATAAGACTTGCCGAACTAATAGACGAAAAAAATATAAATCCTAGCGTCTATACTCCATCCAGAACTCCAATTGAAGTTCTCTGGTTCGCGTCATTTGTCGTTTTATTAGGTTTTGATATGAAAAGTGCACAAAATTTTTGACAGATCCCGTATAGATGTCAAGAAATCTTCTCATAGCCAAAGAAATCAATTGACATAGATAATATTGAGAGTGTATGACGAAAAATTCTTTTTACTACACACTTATGAGATCAAAAAGTCGGAATGTTATTCATTTCTCAGTGCCTTGTATTCGCTACGTTTCCCGGAATAGCAGTTACCCAACCATCACTTAGTCAGAAATTGCTGCAGTCTGGGAGCTGGACGCGGGTGAAATGCCTTCCCCAACGTTCGCCCAACGCAATGTCAGAAAGATCAAAGCACACGCTTGTCCACAGTAGAGCAACATTGTCGAGACACTTCTCGGCCTAGAAAGAGTAAGTATAGTAGCAGTTGGATCTATCATAATAGGTAAATTCCTGGGCTGCCTGTGGTCTCGTGATCTTTTCCTATCCACTGAAGTCAATATTCAATGCAGGGCCGGCCAAGCTTGGTGACGGGGGCGGAGGTAAACACGTACAGGGGAATTCTGTTATTTTTTCCCACGGACCTGCTGAACGCTGTAACGGCGGAGGCCGCCCCTTTCGCATTGGACGTCTTCAACGTAAGAACACGGGAGGGTTGATTTTGTTATTGTGAAATATGAAAAAAATCGGTTTGTTCGTTAGGTTCGCTTCAGAGGGAAGGGATCGAGTAGAGCGGATCGAGTCCTGAGTCACTGGACGTCATGAATGTAAGATGGTGTATGTTGTTCTGGGGTAGATTTTCAAGTGTACAGGAGTCCTTTATGGAGCAACGGTAGCGACACCGAGATGAGGCGCCAGCCATGGGTTCGAGCCTTGGTAAGCAACGTTCTTGGTGTCGCTTGTTGTCAGCGCTTGATGGCCGTCGGGGGTAGTGCTACGAGCACAGCCTTGGGTTAGTGTCCCTTAACAAATTCTAGGTATCTATTACTGGGAGATATTAAAGTTTTAATGCCCAAAGGGTTAAAATTGCCAGAAGAGGATATGCAACTTTGTGGAATATGGTTCTCCATTATGAAAGTATAGAAAAATGTTGGGTGGACCTGAGTTATTTGTATGCGAATGCAAAGGGTAACCGAGCAGAATGAATGAATTACTTTTACATATGAGAGAAAACCAAGGTCATTGATGAGTGGAGGCCGCATTTGATTTAAAGTTGTAATTTTATTTTGCCTGTTTAATTCAATGAGTTAATTAGTTTTCTATCTACGATATAATTACACTCGATTGCAACTTTCTTCTTCTCAATTTTCAAACCATGGACCCCTCCAGTCATTGGCAGCAAGCGCTCTGATGCCGTGTCTTGATGGAGGACGACGAGCGGCAATCGCTAACCTCATCACCAAGTACAAAGGGTGAGTGTCGATGGGATTGCCGAAGGTGGGTCTGATGTACTAAGAACTGATGGAAAAGAGCAGGACGAAACGGGTCTCACGATAAAATAATTGCTGTTTGCTGGATAAATGTGGTATGAAAAAATGACTCACGAATAGAACCAGGTGGGCTAGATTTGTGACGAGAGAGATTACAGCGTATTTTTATTTAGCGAATAATTGTGTTAAAATTCATTGTTGTGACGTGTTCATCAAGTCCTGGTGTTTAATATCGAAAATCTTTGGCTTCTTCGAGTAAGCGGAAAAAAGTATGCGTAAAGAAAACTGAAAAACGTGCTGTTAAGCTTCCTACAAGATAATTTCAACAAACGTGTCAAAAATTAATAAACATCACCCACAACCAAGTTAGGTCAAAAATAAAATCTGTCCAAGATTCATTAAATCCATATAATTTTAATGCCGGAAATTTTATAGAGAAAATACTCAGTCAAAATTTAGAGTCCGCTCCCGAGCGCCTTTCGGCCACCACTTCAATCAGAAGTGAAACAGGCGCCCCTTGTAATCAGCCGCTAGATAGGAGCTGCTCTGGGTAGTTCCATGGTGAAAAACATAAGGGTAAAAATGCACATGAAATCGGTGGCTGATAAGCCCACCCCATATGCTTACCCGGCTCAGCAGCTAGCATTATTTCTTAGCGTGAGCGTGAAAAGCCCCTGCCCAGTTAAAAATCCAAGGCGTATCGCCGGCGTGTTTGGGTAGATTAAGGTAGAGACGCTCGGTTGGGGCGCCCGAGTAACATCTCCGCATCATCGGCGAAATGTCCACTTTTTATGCGCGACGGTTCGCTCTTAAACGGCACGCGGCCGCGGCGCGTTTCATAGACTGACCGAGCGCGGCAGCGCCTCTATCATAAGCGCAACGTGCATGAAACTCCGGCGCAACTTACATGGCCGCCTCCAACTATTTATTTAAAAAAAACCTCTGCGGTATATCGCCGAGATTATTGCCTCTGCACTACCATACTGGATATGCATACACATTCATGTGAACGTGCATGCATTTCCAGCATGATAGTACAAGCAAAGAATCTCGGGATATACAGCCGAGGACATATTAAAATGATCAAATACTAATTCCCATAAAACATAAACAAAAGTAAGGTTTTGAATACAATGAAACGATTGGCAGCTGAAAAAATGTATTAAAAAACATTTAATGGTCACAGCATCGAAGTGATAACCGCCATGCCAACGTTTTATTTGAACTAGACTCTCAGGTCTCAGTTTAATGAGAGACTAATCAACACTTGGCGAGAATTGACCATCTAGTAACAAGTAGTCGGGAGTGTGAAACTGTGAACGTGTCAAATTGTGACAGGAGCGGCGTTGAAGATGACTGCACATTGCGACAAGAGGTGGACCTGAATGCCAAAGAGGAACATTCAAACAGGAGTGGTAGCGAGCAGTTAATTATGCATGTGCGAAACATTCTAACAGTCTAACACATTCAGCCGTACCAATTGGTCTATCGAACTGATTTGTAAGAGTCTATAAAATTCTTTCTACAGTGATTCAGAAATAATAAATCGGACTTTATTTTTATATAGAGTTTCAACAGTTTTTCAAGTTTTCTAAAAACTTCCTTTTCAATTACACTTAGGCGTCGAATAATGATTCTGGATAAAAAAGACACGATCGCAGTTCTGAAATAAAAATCCATATATTCTAACGTTTCGGCTANAGTAAATGTCAGTGTTCTGAGATGCGTAAAAATGCAATATCTCTGTGTAAATATCGGTATACGATATCAGCAACGGTCTTATGTTCAATAGGAGTGTATGTCAAATTTTAGAATTTTAGGTTTAGGTTCGAACACCAACTTACGTACGCACGTGATCGATTGAGGAATCGATTATATATATATAGAGCAGCCGAAATATGGTTGTGAGTAGCAGGCGACCCCTCGTTTGTAAATAACCTTGAAGTACCACGCGAACTGTCGCCGATGGTCGCAGTGCGGCCCGTCCATCACCTCGCGGCCCACGAGCGCCATATCGCCGAGATATCGGAAAAACGGCCAATCTGCCGCTCTGCGCTTATAATCGCCCTCCACGCCGATAAACACGCGCGCCACGGCCTAAAATTTTAACTGGGTGCCTTAAGACTCTGCATCAACGCGCTCATCTGCGTTGGTCGCTCACGGAGTTTCTTAACTATTACTAGGTTCAATAACTCCCCCTCATAAGTAAGATCCAAGTCTGAAATTTGGAATGCTATATTGGCAAATTATTTTAAATACGGAGACATTAAGATAAATTATGTAAACTTTTTATTTCAATTGTTATCAGGGAAGATGAAATTTTGCACCCCGGTGTTCGTGAAGTGTGTGACTTTTCCAGCATTTTCTCGATATACGTCAGTTTAACTATTTTTCCTTCATTTATCGCTACCCCAAACATTTCCGAATTATTATTCTAGTATTAGATATGCGCACTTGAAGCCGAAAGGTAGGTGACACTTCCGTAGATTAAAACACGACCAGACCTCTGGTTGTCATGCTCTCCTGCAGGCAATAAATCTTCTCTTCAAGGTAAACATGCACTCATCTTTCCCTCCCCACTGATCTGATTAATAAATTATTCATTGAATTAAATGAGCTGGAATATAGCAGTTTAAATTCTATACGTAGGTACATGATCTGTGCAGTAATTAGAACATTCATGTAAATGTGTAAATTTTTATCAGAAGTTCATCAAATACGGTGAACTACAGTACATCAAATACATGCATTTAAATTGATATTCTATTTCTGTAGACATTTTTTAAAGTCTAAAAATTAGCGTGTAACGACACATTGTACATTGCTTAATAACCTGTAATATTAATATCAAACTGAATATTAATATCAGCCCACTGAATTATTATCATACTGAATTACTTATTTAAATTATTATTACTGTGATTGGAAAAAAATTATGATTTATATGATAATAAAAAGGCAAAAATAAATACTTAATTTTAAAGCAAATAACGGGAGCGAAAACCATAATGATGCGAAGTACCATGGTACGGATTACCATTGTAAAAAAATTTGCAGCTATATTTGCGCAACTGCTACATTATTATTACATGAGACTACAGGTTCAAATAAAATTTGTATCCTAAATTGTTGAAGTCAAAACATGCCCAGTGGTTTATGAGGGAACCGCAAGCTCATAAATCTCTCTCGGCGCTGTCAATTGCCCCTTAAGGGCCTTCTATCCTTCCCGGATCGTGAGTGGCCATTGGTCGGCCAGAGCATGTTAGCTCCGGCCGCCCGCTGGCAATTCACCGGCCACCTAAAGCCGCCCCTTGCCTCAAAAACAATATCCTTGAGGCCGGGGGTGTGTTAGCCACATATACGTGGCTGAAGTGATAACGAGAGCATGGGCTGGTGACGGCCGAACTTACACGCGAGTGCAGATTTTACAAAGATCTGCTGGCCTCAGGGAACTCGGACTTCAGAGAACTCAATGTTGCAAATTATAAATTAGTTAACATTACTATGTTGCAATATCTATTAATGAATGATACCCGTCATTCAGTCATTGAACAAATTTATACATGAATACAAAGGAGCCTGTAACTATACAGTGCACCTAATAACTATACAGTTATGTATAGTTATAGTAGGTAGGTGAGGGGACGAGGGGACACACCGCAACCTGACACTGCCATCGGCTCACACCAATAAATTAGTTCTCAACCCTGCCATACCCCACTCATCCTCTCCATCGTCGTCTTCACTTCCCCAAGACTCGCTGTTGTCTCGACTCGCTGCCAGACGCTGCCTCTAAAATTTACCCTGAGTTCACCCAGTGTGCCGAGTTTAGAGTTGGAGCGTCCGTGAACAGCCCTCTTAATTGGCCATGACTCTGCATGCGCATTTTGCATGGGCACGAACTTATCAATACGCTAGCGTTTCAACACTTCTAAATAGCGTTTACGTTAACATGCTTGCGTTGCATTATTTTCAATTCGCTTGCATTTAGCAAGTGTTGCTCATGCGAGAGTTGCATGAGATTCAACACATCTGCAGTGCGTGTCAGTTAATGCGTGGGCTTTGCGGGTGCATAGCAAAACACGCGAGCATTGCGCTTTCTTCAACACGCTAGTCCTACTCATGTGTCGATAGGCTTGCGACTAATGTCCGCCAACAAGCGTCTTTAGCTGAGCATGTGGGGACTGCGTCATCTTAAAAACGTAGTTTAACGTGAATATTGCTTTTCTATAAACATGCTTTCATTACTTTTATGTCTACGCGTGTGTGGACGAGGTAATCCTCCAAAGCTCAGCAATTCACAATAACGGGCAAAGTGCTCCCACCTTAGTGAACTAAAGTTATAAACATTTCATTTTCACGTATCTCCAAATAAATAAAAACATGAAACACTGCCGTTCTCGGGAAAGGATGTTGAAAGCTTATAACACTACATCATTTAACGGCATATGAAAAAATACACTAACTTCCTAGGAGACAATAAAAATGGCTTATCGAACTGAAATTAACGAGTTGCTTCCGCATAGGAAGAATGATTATGCACAACAAAATACCTCAATAGGTGGAAAAATTACTGACTTTTGAAAGACAAATACATGGAATTATAATTTAATATTGATACTTTCCCTGATGATTTTCCTGATGATTTTGAATAGAAAAAAAATCAATAGAATTCAAAACCTTAAAATGTAATATATGGAAAAAATTCTTCTTATGATATAGTTTTCCCATCATTTTGACAGGGATGACCCGCAGACATGGCGGAATATGTCTGGGCTGTGTTGCCTGCTGTACACGTTGCCGTCGGGGAAGCTGAGCCGCATCCCCCGCGGGGCCCTCATGTCCTGTCGGTGCCACATCGCCGACCGCGCCCAGTACGCCCCAGAGGAAGAGGCCCGACAGGTCGCTAAATAATTTCCTTCATGATTCCTGATGTTTTCGGGGAATAATCAGGTCTCTGAGTGACGTCTTTTTCCCATTGTTATTATCTTAATTTAGTTGGCCTATTAATTGTGCCTAAATATTCCGGTCCGCATGTTCACTTGTTATATTTGTAGGTTTGATGAAAATATTAGCTCGAAAGAACCTTAAAGCAATGTGTGTTCTTATTCCGGTATGGTTCTGAATATACTGATGCGTTTTTTACCTATCGTTCCAAGATATTCACTTCACAATTCAATTTCGATGTGTACAGACACAAACGTTAATTTCTAATATTTTCTTTTCTTTGTCTATTATTGGGTCAATTGATGTGGGTTTACTGCTGTCAATAGTTACGAAGGTTTAGGTTAGTCTTAAAAGTCGCATAGATGTGTTTTCTTGTGTCAATCTGTTACTGTGCATGCACGCATTTCACTACAAGTCAGGCCGTTTACTATGCACAACAGCTATCACCAGTAAGATAATTAATAGAGCTCTCGTTAATCACTAGTTTTAAGCTTCTGCGTCTTGTCCTTCACCCGCATTATCAACAGTATCACCAAGGATATCGAGACTGGAGTCGAAGTTACGTTACATTGTTTGTCGTGATGAATTTCAAATGGAATTTTATGTCATCACTGGTGTTCCTCAGCAGGCATTCGGTGGTTGAATAAACGTTGAAACAAATACCTATTACGGCTCTGAGATCGGGGTTAAAAGAGGTTTAAAATCAAAATTGAAGCAGCATCTTTCATGAAACGATGTACTGACGTTACAATGCAACGTTGAATCAATGTTGCTAGTACGACTTTGCTGCAACGTTGAATTCTCTGGTTGAATTGACGTTGAAACCACTACTTATTACGACGTTGAGATCGGGGTGAAAACAGGTTTAGAATGAAAATTGAAGCAACGTCTTTCATGAAACGTCCTATAACGACGTTACAATGCAACATTGAACCAATGTTACTACTACGACGTTGCTGCAACATCAAATTCTCTGGTTGAATCAACGTTGAACCAGATCAGCCGCTATATTTTTTATTTATTTTTTCTTTTTCTCTCTTCTTCTTCTTGCCACACATTTCCTATTACACACAGCAATCCCCCAGTTGTGGCCTTTTCCTGTGTGTATCATTAGGGTTTAAAACAATCTTACATTAGTTTTACCTAGACAAAAAACCCAAACCTAACCTAACCGAAGTAAACACAGCCTGAAATATCCTAAGCAAACCTGTCCTAACCTAATTTTACCTTTCCTAACCTTACCTAACCCAACCCAATCAAACCTAACTTAACCTTACCTATCCTAACCTAACCTAACCTTGCCTAAACTAACTTTGCCTTACCTGACCTGCTCAAACCTAACCTAACCACCCTTTGTCAAGGTCACCATAGGAATTTGTTCCTGACTTGAACCTAACCTCAGCCAATGACGTATATTTTACGACGTATTTAATTTCCTACCTGTTCTATTTTGATACCGTGCATGATTGTGGCCGGAGTTTCCATTGTGATTGTGGCATGATTGTGGCCGGAGTTGGTTTGCATTTCCAACATATGTTGGAAATGCAAACCAAATGTGTTGGTTTGCATATCCATCGCATATCCAAATCGCATATCCAAATGTGTTGGATATGCGAACTGAGGCCAACTACTCCTAACTTCAATAACCTAGGTGTCGGTTTTCCTCTATCAAAGTAAACAGTGCAAAAAATTCTTAGTTGACCGTTGCAAAAAAACACAGCTTCAAAACTTCTTAAGGTACCAGTTTCTCAACTTATTAGTGGCATTTACGAGCGCTGCCTGCTCCTGCACACCGGTGGTCATCGTACGTCGTAATAACTGCTTGAGCGAAATTCTAGTTGAGGTCTTGTTTGACGCAGATAGCGATAGAACGTCAGGGCCCTGAGCTCAACACTCGGGGCCATTGAAAGGTAATTTTTGTTTTCTTTTCATTATTATTCGCGTAAATTTTCTTCAATCCGTGTCGTTACCGAGTTAAATGACCTTGAAAAGGCCAAAAATTGCAGTTCGGGCACGCAGGACAAATACATGGCACGGAGCAATATTAATGTTTCACGAAAACCTTTCTACAGAACTTTTGAGATTTTTTCATTCGCATTATTATTTCTAAAGAGCTGAAGCGGGTAACCACATAAGAATGATGTCATTAAGTTAAGATCAAGTTGAATAAATAATTGCTCAAAAAGTGAAAAAAAAATCCAACTCTAGGTCTAATTTTAATCAAGTTTCTTAAAGAAGTAATTTTTTGAAAATACAGCAATTAGCGCAATTGTATCCTCTGTTAATAGTAACTTCAAGAAAGCTTCCAAAAATACGCAGCTAGCACAATAATCTCAAGAGTAAAGACGTTGAACACGTTCAGGCAAGCTCTCGAAGTTACGCGTTTTCGATGAAAATTTGGTCAATTCTTGCCCTCTCTGAAAAATCATATCTCGAGTTCTATTAAAGGTAGGATCATGAAACAGGGTCCAAATTAAAGGCAAAGACTGGTGCTTTATTATTAGATTTGTTGAAAAAATCTACAAATTTTTTCCGTAGAGTTGTGAAGAAAAAAGTGAAAAAGTTGGTGAAAAGTTGATCACAGTTCTGCTCACAACTTTGTGAGTTTTCATTTTTTCGGAAATCTGTATATGGACAACCTTGTGTATCTCGTCAAGACGCTCAGAGAATATGTCGTTAGAATTTCAAAAGTCCTTACGGTTTGGCCGTGGAAGTTGAAAAACAACCGAAATATGGCCAAAAAAATTTTTCAGGGTGAACTTTGACCCCAAATTTGGAGATGAAGTTTTGACCTGACAAATAATCGTTCGGTATTCCAAACACACTCTAATCCTTGAACTTCCGGCTGAAATCAAGCGCATTCCTCTGGCTTTGCAACTTTTTGCTATGAGCGTTTCCGCAACCTCATTTTAGGTAATTTTTCAACCAAAATTTCTCCATTTATGGAGATTTTGAAGGGGAAGGAGTGGAAATTTCGGAAATCCGACAAAAAGGTTTGGTACATAAAATATGCGTACGTGTCTGTGCCAATTTTCAAAAGATTCTAACGGGTAAGCTCCTGGGAAAAATGGCTCGAGTGAAAACTTTGACCTCAAACCCCCTGTACGTGATTATATAGCAGCAGCATATCAATGGTGGAGAGTATAAGTATAGCGTCCGCTTCGCTGGCTGTAGGCACACAGAAAGTGAGCCGCGCCTGCCGATGAACCAACCTCTTTTTCGTCCGTAGCAGGATTCGAACCCGGGTTCGTTGGGGACCGCGTGACACCTTAGCCACCTTGACCACGGTAGCTCGAGTGCATGAGCAAAAAAAATAAGCTAGAAAATTGTGCAACTCCTTGAAAATTGAAATGCATTCTCTGGTCACTAGTCGTACACTTATATATATGTTTATCATTCAATATTGGTGTACTAATATAAGTTTTTTACTAGTAAATAGCTAAACATTCAAAAACCGATATCGACCATTTTTCAAAGTTGAAATAAGGTTGTTTTACGTCCTTTCTAGTTATGGTCAGACTTCGACGTTGATCGGACATTTAATTTTGGTTGTTCAGCATTTCAACCTGAAATCAACATTGATAGAACGTTTGAAAATAAATAAATATTCAACGTACCAATATCGACGTTGTTTCAACGTTGAAATAAGATTGTTTTACGTCGGTTCTAGTTTGGTCAGATTTCGACGTCGATTGTTTTTTTTAATTTTGGCTGTTCAGCATTTCAACCTGAAATTAACATTGATTCAACGTTTAAATATTAGTAAACATTCAACGTACCAAAATCGACGTTATTTCAACTTTGAAATAATATTGTTTAACGTCCCTTCTAGTGTCGGTCAGATTTCGACGTTGATATGACGTTCAACTTGGGTTTTTCAACATTTCAACCTGAAATCAACTAATAATCAACATTGTTTCAACGTCAGATGCCTGCTGGGTCTTTTTTAGACAATGTTTGTTATATGGTGCCCTACAGAAATTTTTACATCTCTTCACGCTGACTTGGTTGTTGTTCTATACTGTCGGATTTTAATTGAAAAATAGCTGCCATAATTTCCTCCCGATTTTATATTGCGAGTGTTCAAGACGGAAATTCGGAACAATTACTTAATCCTGATAAAAGAAGTTCCGGGATTCCCAAGTGAAGCTCTGCAAGAACTTTCATGGTAACTATCGCCCGAGCATTAAAACGAATTTCAATGGTTTAATGATTCATTTCAAAATATAATTTTTTGTATAACATTAAAAATTTAAACTTGGAAAGAGCTCATATGATATCGCAAATGGTGAAGAGGAGCTATCAGGGAATTATGAGATGAGATCATTGTGGCTGACGACTGTTGGATGCTCGATCGTGGTAAATATCGAATCGCCTTCAAAAAACTTATGTTGTTTATAATCTGATGAATGTCAGAGCTAAAAAATTATTCTTTCTCGTCAATCAAAGGAGTGCTTTATGTCTTTAGTACAGTGTTATTCTAAATGATGGACCCGATTAAATAAATGCGTATCTATTTGAGTATGAATTGAAAAAGAATAAAATATACAAGAAACTGAATGCCTAATAAATGTCTCTGCCAACAACTTATGTAGGAAAACATATTTCACTTTCTCAATCTGTTTAACTGTATTCTGTATTGACCGGCGTAACAAGTTTGTCCTGTTTGCTGCTGTCATCAATTCCGAAATGAATAAGTTGAAACTAGAGAAAGTTGGAGTGTAATGATTTGAAAATTTGTTCCATTGTAGCCCAGGAACTCTAAAAAAATTATTAACATAATGCGTAAACGAATGCACTGCACCTTTTCCTGGCCGCATCTCAGTAATCTGCTGCGTGCCTAGTCCCTGTAAGGCAATACATCATTAATTTAATTTAGGGCGTATTAATTCAATTTATGCGACAGGCATTGTCTTCACTCAGGTCACCAACTACAGTGCGAGACTTTTTGTGTGATGTGTCAATCCAGTTCTTCCACACTAGCCAGTTTCACTAGCCAGACTATATCTTAAGCCAAGGAGTTTAATTTTGCAAGGTTCTCTTCCTGCAATTACATTATAAATCACCCTTAATAATGAACAATAGGCATATATATATTTTATTGTCGGAATCGTTGCTAGTCTGTCGCGTACTTCGTGTTATTGAACAAAATATTAAAATATCAGTTTTGTTTCGCATATTACCACTTAATAATAATATTGAACAGTTATTTTTTTCAAATCCTAACGTAAGATGAGTCCTAACACAATGGAAGAATATGTCACTCAACAGATGGAATGCCGCAACAACCTCGGCGAGGACTACGACGACGAACTCTGGCAACGCGACAACGTGCGGCGCGTGCAGATCTGGGCTACGCTTGACATACTCGACCCTTACACCATCCCCGGCTACAACCCCAGCGGGAGGAAGAAGAGAGGTGAGTAGTTGCTGCAATCAATTTAAAATATGCGATAAAAAATCATGGACTTTCCGACTCCATGCTATGAAGACAGTCTTCAGGGTTTTCGGAGCTTACAAATGCTTAATTTTTTTACCAAGCTCATGAAAGTTATGGATGCTTGTGCGAAATTTCATCCAAAATTCTAACGTAAATCAACACTAGTCAGAAAACTTCATTTAAATTTGAAATCATCATGAAATTTTGTAAATACACAAAAATATACGAATATTAGTCATAGTTGTTTTTATGATCGTGAAGTATGCATTTTCTTTTCAAAGAAGGTGAAACCACATACAATTTGGAGAATCTGTTTTACCACAGGTGCTAGGTACTTGGGAAGCACCAGAATCAGCCGCTCTATGCCCACTATAGGGTCTACTCTCTGATAAAAAAAAAGACAGCTCCAAGAGTCTCGTTTTATATCCGGCGGCCAATATAGCGATCCTTAAAAAATTATTGTCTGTGCCAATTAAAAATTAACACCAGCAATGCACACGGCCGCATGCACATCTACATTCTTGTAAATGCGACAGCACTGCAGCGGCAGTGCAAGAAAAACCACTTGAGCCTCCTTATTGCGGCAGTTCGTATGCGCTGAACCGATGCCTCAGCCGAGCTACGTCTCGACAACAGCGGCAGTGAGCGGCACAGTATTTGGCACCTGATACTTTCGGGACAGGCACGGCCGAATCTGAAAAGTGCGATAAAAATCTAATTCACGCTAATTTAACATATTCAATGCATTTATCCTTCTGACTGAACAATGTTGCGCTCAAGATAATTTGTTGAATTATTTTCCGTATCATCCCAGTTAAAATTTAGGGCAGGGAATAGAGCAGGCCGTCGCCGGCTGCAGAGTCGACGTAGAGACGCGACAGAGCAGCGATAGAGCAGAAATGTCCGCTTTAGAGACGATATCGCCAGCCGCGTATCAGCGCTAATTAGCTTCTGAGTACCAGCCCAGGTGTGCTCTGTCCTGCCGTCACGCAGCCCTTACTGAGCACCGCCTGCTCAAACCTGCCCAACGCCTGCTCTGGGGCGGCTCTGGCAGCGTACGCGGCAGTTACGCGTCACCGTTTGTCAACAACGATTTAAAAAAAATTGTTCCTTCTCTCTCTCTGAGATCATCTAGACTTCTCTCTTGCAATGACAGGTTGTATTGACATTGGTTACTGACATTCTCATCGTATTGACTTTAGCAACGTAATTTAGAATCGAACAAACTCAATTATCGAGGAAATATACACATCAAATTACTCACCGCTATGAAATATCTGCAAACGTCGACTGAAGCTCCGGGATTCGAACGCAGATTCTCCGCGTCGTAGTCCACGCCTGTACCAGTTGACCGCCCGGACACCTTACCAGCCTAGGCTCTATGAACTACTTAACTATAATACAGAACAAATGACTCGCCATCATCTAGCAAATCGAGGAATAGCTATATTTGTGGTTTAACTTGATAGATATTATTCATAATGCACTAATTTTAAAAAATGAACGAAGTAGCCATTCGTATGATCCCGTCAGTTAGATGTAAGTGAGTATTAGAGCTAAATTTGTTTAGTAATTTATCTTATTGCATTGGCTTCTTGTCATTCGATAGTTTGATAGGAAAATTAACAACATACGCAAATCATTAGTCTACTGAAATCGCAAGTTATCCTGAGTTTTCATGCAAAGAAAGCGCCAAATAAATTCACCAAATCTTAAATGAAAACGTTTCGGAGACCAGAACCGAAACGTAGGGAAAGTCGATCAATTTTATGAACCGATGATGGTGCTGGTTTACACATTTTCATTGAAAATATGATGAGTTTCCTCGGTATTTTCTTTGCCCTAACATTTACTGTTATAAACGCGTTTTCTGTATATCCATGTTAGAAAACTTTCTCATGATAAACTGATTGATATCTCGCTTCAACGTTTCTGTTTAGAGTGTTAAAACTGGAAGAGCATATAAAATTCTTACGTAATTCGAAGTATTAAAATACTGACGTGAAATAAATATCATAAATGGCACCGGAAATTGGCACAAAATATCGTGCTATGCGAATGAACTAGATGGAGGATGAAGTTCATTCTCCTATCACTGTTTCCAACCCCTACCCTTCATCCCTCTCTCTAAACCCCCCCATGCACGGCCTGCGTATCTGCTCTGTACAGCTCCCTGCCGGGCAATCCCAAGTACCAGCGCTAAAACAGCGCAGAGTTCCGGCCCTGCCGAGCTGCTAGAATTTTCTCTCTATCAGCCATGGCGCAGCGCAGTTTTAGGGATAGATGGCCGGTTATAGTTTCGCGGCTCCATCCTGCTAAAGCGCGACCAGCCCGGCTAAACCCGACGCCGGTCTCGGCTCAAAATTTTAACTGGGATGGCATGCAACTTCCATCATCTTAATTTTCTATTGAGGAAACTGTTCTGCAAGGGCCTCAAAATTCTGCGTCCATTGATGAAAAAGACAACAAAATCGAGTCACAGCAATAACTTGATTGCAGCTTTCATTTATTCAAACTTCATATCAAATGAGGATTTTTCTGCATACTTCGTCGGCAGCTGCATGGCAGTAGTGAGTTCTAAAATTATGTTCTTCTGGAGTATTAAAATTTTCAACTGCAATGTAAATTCCTGGAGTGAAAACCGAAGAAATGACGGGCTTTAGTTATTAGGAATCATGAAATCAAATACGTTGATAACAAATGGGCTCCTTAATTATTGTACACGATAGTTTACAGTAATACGACAGCTAGGGGTAGCGAGAACGTTCATATATAAGCAATCTCCTGCTTGAGTTATAACCCAGTTAAAATTTTGAGCCGAGACCGGCGCCGGGTTTAGCCGGGCTGGTCGCGCTTTAGCAGGATGGAGCCGTGAAACTATAACCGGCTATCTATCCCTGAAACTACGCTGCGCCATGGCTGATATAGAGACAAAATACCCCAGTTAAATTTCGGAGACGCATTCTGCGCCGTTCACGGCATAAGATCAGTTTAGCTGCAGCATTGCAGCAGGAATCTCAGGAAACTGTCCCTTGTTAAAAATCGAGACAGGGAGCAGCCGCAAATTGGCAGGAATTTCACGGCGTCATATATATAGGCAACGGCTTGCCGTCCGTGTCCGTTTCGAGGCAGGTTGAGAGCAGGACTTCAATAAGGGAGAATTGGGGGTTTGGGAAGAAGTGGGAGAGAGAATGGGTCTCTATGTTGACAACTGGTTTACTTAAACGTTTTGTATGCTATATATATTGAAATAGTATGAAATATTGTATGCTATATATATTGACTATACGTCATAACAATGGCAAAGCACATACTAACTTGCTCACGATTTGTACGTCATATTATACGGTGGCAACTAAATGTATTAAATAACTTTCTTGTCAAAGAATAGATAAGCAATAGACGAGGAATTGTAACGTATAGAGATGTTTTTCACATGTGATGTTTATCATATAATACCATATTGTACATGAATCTTCCTCCTGAAAAATTCTGATATGCTGGAATAAATAAAAAAGTTAGTTACAGGTTATAAACTTTATATATGGATCAGAAATATATATAAAAAATATTCCGAATCAGTCAGTAAAATTATTTTTTTAACCGTGCTCAGAATATTATTATTCTTCTCCACAATTTTCCAATTAACCAAAGTAGAACAATTTATGGCACAAATCGTACTGTAAGAAGGAATTGCAGTGAAAATTTTAAAATTTACCCTAAAATTTCAGAGTGCGGGAGTGTATTCTGAGCAATTGTTCGGACAATAACTTAAATTTACAGTGTAGGCAGACGTCAAATAATTTTTTCAGTGTTTTAATGAATTATTCAGTTCAAGAAAGCATTGTTTGAACGACTGTTCTAAAAATTTGGCTATTATCATTTTACCCTGTCAAGGCGAAAATGCTTCAAAATAGTCTATTGCCGAACGGCGTTCTTTGTCTGAGTTCGTCATATGGTCATATTGGCGGGTACTGCCGTGTAGTCTGCCTCTGGATTCAAACTGCATGAACGTTGTTCATCGCTGACGATGGGAACAAGCACAATGCTTACCATACTACAGAAGAAACTGAATGTGTCATCAGTAAGAATTGACAATGATGTCAATAGTCTAGTAGTGACTGTAGTGTAACTGTGTACCTAAGTGTTGATGGTCCGCCGATGCGCCGAACTTAGTTCGAACGTCTGAAGTTGAGCTGCAGCAGTGCGGGACTGATGGGTTCTGAATCAGCCGTCTAGTGAAGGTAAGACTGCATGTAGTTTTACTAATAATGCATGTCAGTTGATCTTCTGTTGATGGAATAAATAATGCAAATTGCATTCCGTTAAATTCATTAATCATTCATATATCCAAGATGCATGTAGTGATGGTTGCCTCTGTTCAAAATCAATCCAGCAAGGTCACTTGTTGATCTAAAACTAGAAGTATCAGCCAGTTTTAAAAGAAAGGATCTTTTTTTTCTTCTGGACCGCATAAAATTTGCTAGTACTGTAAAAGGGTAATTTCCATCGTGACACCACCTGTCCAATCATATCATTTGCACTCCTAACTTAGTTTCATATTGAAAATCTCAGCCATTCAGAAGCAAATGCTTGAACATAAAATAAGATGCTGCCAGTTTATATTTTTATTTGTGTTCAGGTAAATTGAATCTATTTTAATAAAAAGTCCCTCAGTCACATTGCTTCCACTAAAAATGACTGAGACTGACATTGGAAAAGCTACCTACCTATAGTTTGCTGAGCTCCTTGAAGTTCAGCCTGCAGTCTGCAGGTATTAATTAATTGGGACTGAAATTTAAACTATTATTTGTGATTTATTTCTGTGCTGAGCACAGTAGTTGCTTTTAAATTATTATGAGAATTACTGCAGTATTAATTCACCTAATTTTTTTTAAATTTCTAGTTCCTGGCTGCCAGTTGGGGAAGCGTCCAAGGAATCTCAACACAGCAATGCAGAATTCCTGTAGATATCCCAG